TTGAATTATAGTTCATTTAGATGAGGACTAATCCTTTTTAATAAACAATAAACACAACAACAAAAAATAAACTTCTCACAAGTACTTTTAAATAACATTTTGATATATTATTATAAATTATATTTTAAAATAATGATTGATTTTAATAAAAAAAATTCTTAGTTTTTCTCTTCCCTCCAGCTCTCTGTGGCATTCTAGCGCCCCCTGTTGGCCCCCAACTTTGAAAAACACTGAAACAGAGGATCCAAAGTTCCTGGAAAGCATTTTCTTGGTTCTAACTGATTTAGTTCAACTACAACAGGTGTGGCACAGAAAAAGAGCTAAGGTAGATCAACACCTTTTATTATTTTCACAGGAAAAGTTGCGTCAATACTCTGGTTTCAGTTAGGTCCTCATCCAGACTTTGGCCAACAAAGTTCTGCTGATGGACCAGCACCACCTCTCTGAAACTGGGTCCAGGCAGGACTGTTCGACACACCATCCTCAGGTGTGTGTTGCCTGGGCCCACTGCTGTACCCACCATACGATCACTCAGCCAAACTTTAGTTTTTAAGAGAAAACCAGTTAAGGTGCAAGAATATATCAAAGATAATAAAACTATTTCTTTGCTTAAATATTTGTATTCATAAACACATTACCAAGATTATTTAAAAAATAACAAACCATTTCCCACATTTTGATTTTTATTGTAAGTGTAAAAAGATTGTTCACACAAACCCCCCCAAAAACATATTTATTGACAACAGAAAACACATTCCCAGATGGCTGTGAAAACATTCAGTACACGCAAAAACAGTTTGAGAACCAGCTTTTTATGATTTTATCAACAACTATTTTTCAACCAATTACCTGGTTAGAAAATTTACTGCAGCATAAAAGAGTGAACTCTTGGTGTTGGCTACATGAGTAAATAAGGTCTATGAAGAAACCAAACAGTTTCTCTGCACAGTTCAATAACAAGAGTTTTATTATTGCTTGTGTTCTGTAAATAAAATAAATACAATTTAAAAAAGGCAGTTAAGACTAATTGCTTTAGTATCTTTTTTTTTTTTTTTACAAATTTGACTCAATAAACCCATTTATTTGAATTACAAAAATAAAAAAAGTGCACAAAGTTAAATTTTGTACATCAGGCATTGTCAGTGTTTAGCCAGGTAAAAAAAGCTTTTAAATGGCTTTAAACAGGGAATCTTTCAACAAAAACCTCTAGCTCTTTGACATTCTTGGGTACGCAATTTCCCTGAGGAACCCCTCCAAAAGGATCAATGAAGTTCTATCTAATCTAATAAGCTTGTTTAGAATGATTTTTATTTTTTATTATAAGTTGATTTCTAATTTAATTAAATGTTAAGTGCAGTAAAAAATCTGACTAGGTTGCCAGACTTGTGTTTCTCTGCAGCTACAGTGGTTTGCAAAAGTATTCATACCCCTTGAACTTTTCCATATTTTGTCACATTACAACCACAAACATAAATATATTTCACTGGAATTTAATGTGAAAGACCAACACAAAGTGGTATACAATTGTGAAGTGGAAGCAAAATTTTACATGAATCAAAACATTTTTTACAAATAAAAAACTGAAAAGTGCGATGTGCAAAATTATTCAGCCCCCCTGAGTCAATACTTTGTGGAGCCACCTTTTGCTGCAATTACAGCTGCAAGTCTTTTAGGGTATGTCTCCACCAGCTTTGCACATCTAGTGACTGCAATTCTTGCCCATTCCTCCTTGCAAAACAGCTCAAGCTCAGTCAGATTGGATGGAGAGCGTTTGTGAACAGCAGTTTTGAGATCTTGCCACAAATTCTCAATTGGGTTTAGGTCTGGACTTTGACTGGGCCATTCTAACACATGAATATTCTTTTTTTTAAACCTCTCCATTGTAGCTTTGGCTTTATGTTTAGGGTCGTTGTCCTGCTGGAAGGTGAACCTCCGCCCCAGTCTCAAATCTTTTGCTGACTCCAACAGGTTTTCTTCCAAGATTGCCCTGTATTTGGCTCCATCCATCTTCCCATCAACTTTGACCAACTTCCCGGTCCCTGCTGAAGAGAAGCACCCCCAGAGCATGATGCTGCCACCACCATATTTGACAGTGGGGATGGTGTTTTCAGAGTGATGTGCAGTGTTCTTTCTCCGCCACACATAACGTTTTGCATTGTGGCCAAAAAGTTCAATTTTGGTCTCGTCTGACCAAAGCACCTTCTTCCACATGTTTGCTGTGTCCTCAACATGGCTTCTGGCAAACTGCAAACGGGACTTCTTATGGTTTTCTTTTAACAATGGCTTTCTCCTTGCCACTCTTCCATAAAGACCACATTTGTGTAGTGCACGACTAATTGTTGTCCTGTGGACAGTTTCCCCCACCTGAGCTGTGGCTCTCTGCATTTCATCCAGAGTCACCATGGGCCTCTTGGCTGCCTCTCTGATCAGTGATCTCCTTGTTCGGCCTGTAAGTTTAGGTGGACGGCCTTGTCTTGGCAGGTTTACTGTGGTGCCATACTCTTTCCATTTCCGGATGATGGATTGAACAGTGCTCCGTGAGATGTTCAAAGCTTGGGAAATCTTTTTATAACCTAAGCCTGCTTTAAACTTCTCCAAAACCATATTCCTAACCTGTCTGGTGTGTTCTTTGGACTTCATGATGCTGTTTGCTCCCCAATATTCTCTTAACCAACATCTGAGGCCGTCACGGAGCAGCTGTATTTGTACTGAGATTAGATTACACACAGGTGGACCCTTCTGAGTCATTAGCAGTCATCAGGCAACTTCTGAATGCAATTGGTTGCACTCAGGGAAAAGGGGGCTGAATACTTTTGCACGTHGCACTTTTCAGTTTTTTATTTGTAAAAAATGTTTTGATTCATGTAAAATTTTGCTTCCACTTCACAATTGTATACCACTTTGTGTTGGTCTTTCACATTGAATTCCAGTGAAATATATTTATGTTTGTGGTTGYAATGTGACAAAATATGGAAAAGTTCAAGGGGTATGAATACTTTTGCAAACCACTGTACATGTCCACAACAAGCTGTCTTGTATGAATGAAGATTTGTAGTTCCCATCACCAGCWGGAGCAGATCAGAGCAGCAGGCCTCTCACATGTTGACCAGTGGACCGGCAGCAGGTCTCATTGGTCTTCTCTGCTGTTCTGCGCCACAGTTTTACGAACGGTGGTGGTCGTCTTTACTGTCTTGGAAGAGGCACTGTTTTGAGACCCGGTGGATGTGCTTTGCTTTCTGTCGAGGTTTTTCTGTGATCCAGACCCCTCATTCTTCAGTTGGACACCTATTGCCTCTTGAAGCTTTCTGCCGTTTGTCGACTCTCCGACCATCACGTAACTCTGAGATCCTGATAGCTCTCCTGTCATGACTGCGCCTCCCTGGATGAGGCCAGCCTGGCTCCCATTGAGTATTTTCACTGAGCCTGCTGGAACGTTGCCATCTACTACCATCATAGTTTGGGACCCGGAGAAATTTCCAGCGGCGATCAGGTTGGTGTGACTCCCGAGGGTCCCGCTGGTCTTCAGCAGTGTGCTGAAGCCCTGGGTTTGTGGACTGGACACCACCGTCTGGCCCTGAACCAGAACACCTTGGGAGGCTCCGGCCTCAGAGCCGGTCACCAGAATCATGTTTTGAAGGTTGGTGGCCGGTGCTTCGGTCAGCACCATGGCGTTCTGAAACGCTGGCTGAACAACGTAGTGCACGGGCTGCACCATAGGAGCCGTGGTGTAGTAAACAGGCTGCTGCTGCTGCTGCTGCACCACAAACATCTGGTTTTGATTTCCCATCCCTTGTTTCACTGAGGACACTTCTTCCTTCACCGTGGTCATGCTTTCCTTCCTTGTCTCAGATCGCCCAGAGGTTTCGCTCACGACGTGGTCTACTTTCCCAGTCGACTGCAGTTTGACTGGTGGCTGGGACTTTTGTTGAGCAGCTACTGGACGGGATTCTGATGTTTGAATCTTAGCCCCAGAACCTGCAGGCAAAGCAGAAACCTCTTGTTTCAACTTAGCCCCAGAACCTGCAGGCAAAGCAGAGACGTCTTGTCTAATCTCAGTTTCGATCTTGGTGCCTCCACATATCTCCGCGAGAGTCTTGAACTTTTGTTCTAAATCATCCAGGAAATGCAGGTCATCTGTACTTTCCAAATTGCTGCAGCAGCCAACAGAACCAGCTTCAGAGCCCTGGCCTTCGTAGTTATAGACCTTGAGAATATCCTTCAAATTATGCTTCTCATCTCCACTGGTCTTCTGTTGGAAAAATACAGCTTTTAGTCAACTTGATAGGAAATAAAAATAAACCATGTGTACTGTGACAAACTTGTTTTTATTCATCAGTATGTAAAGAGATGGTTTGTTCAATATCTATCTGTTTTGATTAGATAACATCTGATGGGGATAAGCTAGATCAGTGATTTTCAAACTTTTTAGCTTTCATCCCTCAAAATAACAGCTGCAGGATCTTTTGAACCCTGATATTACTGGTTAAATATGTAAACTTTGCTAATAACTCTGTTAAACATGATCATAATAACTATATAAGCAAAACCTATGACACTGGGGACCCTCACTTAAATGTTTAATGACTCACAGAGAGAAGTGTGTTTTTGATTTTTGGTGTGTTGTTATTGTTGTTGACAGCAGGCTGCTTTGTCAGTTTCTGATTCTAAATATGAGTGTATTGTCTCAAATGATGCTTCAGTTTCCATCAATATTTCTAGAGATTTGCAAGAAACACATCAACTCCTAGATCGCTGATGGGCTGCTGGTGGTCCACATATGGCCCGCCAAAGGCACTCAAAGAAGCTCTAAGTCTTACATTTTGAGAGCTGTGGTTAGAGTGCCTTTTTTTAAGTAAAAATATATATTAAAAAAATTTAGGGGGGAGGTAGACCATCTGATGACAGGGCAAACCTATGTAATCAGTCTGCTCAGAGATGCTGTCTGCCGTGAAGGATTTTCACATAAGTCACCACTACAACATATTGCACAAAGCTAAATATGCAGTTTACTGAAGTCACAATTACAAAAACAGAGACTTTTTACCAGAACTACACAAGAGTCTGACCTCAAGGAGTCTTATGCCGTTGCACTTCAGCTCATTAAAGTGTTTATTTTTTGTTTGCTTCAACTCATACAGTATATTCTTGCAAGAGTACAACTGTTGTACATGCATTTGAGCATGAAATAAGTTAAGTTACTGCACTTTGTTGATTTAATAAACATATATGAACACAACCATGTTTAAAATGACAGCTTTTTTTTACATATGAGTAAGTGACCCTCTGATAGTGTCAACAAAAAATTGTGGCCGCTTCCATCATTTAAGTTGCACATTGCCGTGCTTCATAATAACTTTAATGTCGTCTCTAAAAAATTACTTTTTCCTCTTCAGATTAACAAGGCTTTTAGGTTCTTTAAATGCTACCACCAAACAGCAAATAAATGAATTTTTATATGAAAGTAACCAGATATGTTCAATTTGAAACTGTAAGTAAAAGAAACTACAAAACTGATGAGTTGTTAGCTCTGGAATAACTAAATATGGGCACATTAATGTCCTGATAGTTTGTACATGCAGAAACAGAAACTATGTTAAAGTATTGTCTTCTGTTTGCTCACCTGGTTGTAGTATTGCTTTAAGGTGTTGTCTGGCAGAGCCAAGCCATCAAAAGCCCATCCACCTGCTCCTCTTGATTTTCTGCCTTCAGACTCAGCGAAGTAGCCACTGCCCTCCAAATGGTTCACCCCCCACATCTCGTTTTTTTGGTAATAATCTTGAAAGCCAGCCTCGTTCATCTCAGACATTTCATTCAGCCCAAAAGTGGAGTGGAAATTTGTTGGTGAAATAAAAGTAGGTGCCATCTCTACTTGTTGATAAGTGTCCATTTGTAAAGGTAAAGAGATCTGTGGTACGGCCTAGAAACGTTGAAAGTATGAATGTTAGAATATGAGGTTAAACAATACTTTAACTCCTAATGGTGAAAACAAACTTAAGAGCTGTCTGAACATTTTTGTCGCACCGTGTTGTCTCCTATGCACTCAGTGTTGTAGCTCATGAGGTGGGTCTTGGTGTCGAAAGGCAGATCAGCGAAGAGGTCTCGATACTTTGAAGGAGACCCACAATTGCAGAAGAGCATCAACAGAGGAATGACTGTGCAAGAAAAAAAAACATTTGTTACATTTAAAACAAAACTAATTTTTATCCTTGACTTGCAGGAATAAACATTTTTAAAAATCCAGTTCATCAATGAAATTTAGGTAAACAGGGCAATGAAATACAGCATGACGTCTGTGTAATTCTTCTAACGTAACTCACAGACCCTGCTCTCATTTTGGGTCCTGATTTACATGCGTTAAAGATGTGTAAACTTGAAAGATGATCTACTAATTGTGTGCACAGAGGACTGCGTCGGTCAAATGAGCAAAAACAAGCAGATGCAATCCATTCAGCATTGCATTCATGAATCTGTAGAAAATAGGATGACTATCAGAATGCATATAAAACTGTATGTAAATCTAATAATAAAGCACTGCAGTGTGATTTATCAAAACTGAAATTAATGCAGTCAATGTTTTAGCATCTGTGTTTTGCACATTTGAAAGGCAGGTGAAAACTGGCAGCTGTCAGATGCTCTTATCCTCTCCCTATGCACCGCAATAGACACTAGGGTTAGGCAAAATCTTACTGTGCAGGGTTAATCGTCAGAAAAACTTTAATTGATTATTTATTTGGCACATAACGCGTAATACAATTAATGCCATCAGGCAGACTGACTGGAGGTTTCCCCAGTCAGTCCACTCGATGCGCCAATCCTTTAAAAAAGTTCTGTCATTTATTTATCATAACTCCTGTTTTACTTGGCCTATCAACGCAATTTAAAAATTGATGCATTTTTACGGATGTTTTTCCCACGAGAGTGATTTAAATTGGTCATGTGACTAGGACTTGCAGGTGTCCAGAGACTCCAGGGGATTAATCGTCATATTGATATCGGCTAAATACCACAATTAATCGTGATTTATTTTTTGGGCAATATCGCCCAACCCTAGTAGACACCCCCACTCCACCCCCCACTGCACTTCATTGTGTTGTGTGAGAGTACTACAGATTTTTTGTGAAATGTACAGATTTCTGAAGGTCAGTATGACATGGATGTGATTTGGAGCCAGACACTAATAGAAGCCATGTAATAACTCCTACACCAGTAGTTCCCAGCCTATTTTCCGCAAACCTCTGAGGGCTTTGCAAAACATCGAGATTAATACTGAGATTAAATTACAACCAAATGGACCCTACTAAAACTTTGGTTAAGGTGAATTTTAGTCAGGGGTATCGGAGTAAAGGGTGTTGAAAACAATGCACACCACGATTTTCTCATTTTTGGGGGGTAAGAAGTTTTAAGTCAGGCATAACTATTTTTTTAAATTATGCACTATTTTGTGTAAATCAAACATTAAATAGTAAAATACTTAAAAATCTGTGGCTGGACATGAAAAAATGTTAAAAGTTCAAGGGGTGTGAATACATTTTGAAGGCATTCTATTATGTAAATGTTAGAATCTCTACCCAGGACCCTGATAAGCTGCCAGTATGATAATTTACCACCACAACTTTACTTTTTTAATGCATTCTCAAAACCGTAATAGACTGATCAGGCTCCATCAATAACAAGTCCAATGCATGCTTAATATGCCTCTGAAGACCCAGCAAAGAGTCTCTATAGTTGGGGGAAACCCAATAGTCACATCCAAACTTTAAACCCATGTTCCATCATGAGAACATCCATCTTGTCACACTTACGCAGAAGGAGTAAACACCCCAGAAGTATCAGTCCAATGGCTGCAGCGCCAAGCTCTGCGTTTTTGGTCTGTCTTTGTCCACATACAACTCCATCCTCACAGGTGCAAACTTGGACCGTCACTTCCTTCGGGTCTGGACAGGCTAGTCCCTGCTGGTCTGTCACCATAACCTGTAACTTGTAAAAACCAGGCCACAACGACTCCTGAGTCCTCATAATGGCTGCCGTGTCTGTAGAAAACAGAACAGTAATTACACTTGCTTAGATGAGCTTCTTTTTACCAGTCAAATATAAATAAATAAATGAAATATAAGTAGTCATTAAGTCAGTACAACAAAAGTGCTGTTTTTTAAGCTGACAGTGTATGGGCACTGAAGCATTATTATTACTATTCTCTTAAAATAAATATGGATCTTGTCCTGCAGCTTTTAAATAAGACATAAATATTATCAAGCTCATTGTTTTGGAATACAACCAGCTTTCTGTGAACGCACTTTCAACTTTGATATCTTTAATGACTTTTATTCAACCTTTAGGTTTTACAATTTTTCCTTAATTGTTCTATGTAATGTTCAACTAACAACTGAACACTTCATGGAAATAACAAACTCTTCTTACTCCTGCTACTCTTTTTAGTACATATTCAAATAAATATTTATATTTAAATAAAAATAGCATGTTTTGTTGCATTTGTATATGTAACCATCACATTTTTCTGAATCTCCTTCTTACCATTAAGGTGCTCCACTTGCCATTTTCCGTCAGTGCCCTCAGGGATTACAGTAAATATAAAAGGAGGACCGTTGGGGAATACGTCCTCATCTTTTGCATTAAGAATAACAGTATTCTTTGATAGGCACATTGACTGTACGTGGCTGGTCAGCGTGGGGCAGTGGTCGTTAAAATCCTCCACCTGAATGGCGATGGTGCCTGTAGCAGTTTTAGTTGGTATGTCTGGGAATGAAAAACACAAACAGGAGTGTGATGGAGAAAATTCAGCTTGGATTATCATTTTTTTTTTTCATTTTGGGATGGAGTTGTTTACAAACTGTCCTGTAAATTAAGCGTTCAGTCTGGCAGAAAGTCCTTTTCTTTTTATTTGATGATACAGTATGCTGGTTTTATGTCTGAATCCTGAAGTCCAAGTTTATTTGAAGTGAGGAGAGAAAATCAGTTTGTTCTTAAAGGCACAGTGTGTAGAATTTGTTGTTTTCAGCGACATCTAGTGGTTAAATCATCCTCCCTGGTCCTCCCCCCACCCCCACCCCCCGCTTCCAAATGCAAAGAGTTGCTACGGTGTCTCTCAGGTGTCAAAAACAATTCCAACAGCGATGTTTACCAGCAGCTTCAGGGCTAGTGATGTTTCAAGTGGTAAGATTATGAGCTTTAATAAGTAAAATTATCCCAGCTACAATGACAGACAACAAATATTACATTTATAGTATTACAACTAAAACCGTTTTTGACGCCGCCACCGCAGTTTGTCCTTCATGAGCCTTCGTAGACAAGATGGTGGTGCAAGATGGCGGCTGCATGTAGAGGCGACCCGCGACCATGGAGATATAAACAGCTTTTTATAAGGTAAAAATAATAAAACAAGGTCTTTGTCTGCAATGATTAGACATGATTTTTATTATTGTCATTAGTGATTATCTCAATTTCGGCTAAAAGAATTGACTAAATTCTACACACTGTGCCTTTAAGTTTGTTGATCTTCTGAACGATGACCCATTAGATTTTCCATACATCTACCTCTCACTCTCCACCATAGTTCTACAACTAGCCTGACTGTCCCTGTCTTCTTTGCATTGAAGGGATGGTCTTAAAACTTGTATTATCCAACAGGAAAGCAGTCCTGTTCTGGATTGAAGTCCACTTCAGAGGTCTTGATATTTACAGTCTTTGCTCTTCACTGCTGCCGTATATCAATAAACATTTCCACACAGCTGATTTAAAACAAACTGCTGTGTTTTATCTGAACTACATATATTTGCTATAGAGTTTTAGCTAGTATTTTCCTCCACCTTGCTTTTTTTTTTTTGTTGTGGAAGTTAGCAAAAAGCAGTTAAATGTGTTTCCACATTGAGAGTGAATGAGAATGGTGATTACTGTGACCAATGTGATCTACACACACCAGACCCTGACATATGTACTGTGATGGTTCAGGACAAACACATGTACCATCATGATGACAATTTTATGAGAAAATCACAGAAGTCACACTGATGTAACACAAGTGCTTTGTATAGCTTTAGTGCAATGTCTTACCATCTGTCATGCAGAGTACTTGAGCAAAGTATGTACCATTGACCAGGACTGGAGACTCCCTGTCTGGTATTTTGTTCAGTTTGATCTCAGCTGTCTTTGGGTCAATAGTAAACCAGTTATCAGGGTCTGAGCCTTTGGCATACCTGAGGAAATAAGATGAGTCAACATGAAAGTTGTTTTTACCTTCAGAGGCTTTGTGTTTGCATCAACTGACCTGACATTCTCAGCTGTTTTTCCAGTGTCTAAATCAATGGCAGGGTAAACAGCAATGGGTTCTTTAATGTTGAGGGAGTTGCCTCCTTCAGTGATGGGAATAGCTTTAACTTTGGGGTCAAAACTTGGTCCCTCTGGCTTGTTTTTCACCTTGATTTTTATGGGGTAACTTTTAAATCCTCCACCTCCGCTGGCACCACTGGCACCAGAGGCTCCAGTAGCACCACCTGCACCAGCACCAGCACCAGCACCTGCACCTGCACCGGCACCAGCACCAGCACCTGCACCGGCACCACCACCTGCACCTGCACCGGCACCAGCACCGGCACCAGCACCGGCACCTGCACCTGCTCCTCCTCCTCCTCCCAATCCAACACCAGCTCCATTTGGATTAGATCCATCAGAAGGTGGGGCCTTGTTCCTCACTACCAGGCCCAGTTCAAGGTTCTTCACATCTTCATAATCCACAGGCTAGAAAATGGGAAACAAAAAAACAAAACAAGCAAAAAAAAAACAAAACAATTGTTAGGACTTATGTGTAATGTACTGAAATGATAGCTGATGAACATCATGAAACTGTGGTATTTCTGCTCACAGCTATCTCATTAGAATCTCATTCAAGTCCATGACCCCAAACTAGGCAAAGAATTCCTTAGATCTTGTGGAAAATGTACTTGACAGTAATGGCTTCTACAGAAAACAGGAGTAAAGAAAGGCAGACAGCCTGCAGAAAGTGCACAGGTCGTGACTCAAAACTGAATTAGTTGATCTTTGTGTGTAATTCCCTGTTTAATGTTGTACTTTTTATCTATAGAACTTCATGGTTTACTTCAGTCCTTTTGACTGGTGAGGACAAAGCATATATGTTTCTTTTAAGAAACAAACAAACACTACCTTGTCCAGCATCAGGATGCCTTCGTTGGTCTCGGGGTCTGTTTTTATGCTGAAATATCCAGCCTCATTTCCTTTGACAATATCAAAAACAGCTTCCCAGTTATCTGTCCCCTCCAGGTCCAGGTCTTCAGTTTTGATCCTCATCACCTCCACACCAGACTCGTTTTCTTCAATACTTCCATCATACTACAAATAAAAAAACAATGAAACATGAAAGTAATGCACAGAAATCTGTATCGGAGGCCCTTTAGGCAATAATTTAAACTTGCTCTCACACATACTATCAAACTCTCTCACACATACTGTCAAACTCTCTCACACATACTGTCAAACTCTCTCACTCGTACTATCAAAGTCTAAGTCTCTCACATCACTACCAAACTCTCACATTTACTATCAAACTCTCTTACACACACTATCAAACTCTCTCACACATACTGTCAAACTCTCTCACTCGTGCTATCAAAGTATAAGTCTCTCACATCACTACCAAACTCTCACATTTACTATCAAACTCTCTCACATATCCTATCAAACTCTCTCACATTTACTATCAAACTCTCACATTTACTATCAAACTCTCTCACATATGTGTAAGAGAGTTTGATAGTACGTGAGAGAGTTTGATAGTAAATGTGAGAGGGTTTGATGGTACATGTGAGAGCAAGTTTGAATTATGGCCTAAAGGGCCTCTCATAATCTAACTGCGCCACACTTGTGGTAACTTCTTTGATTTTCTTGTGTGATCCACAACACCAGTATGTCAGTGTTTACATGTAACCTTAAATATTAAACCCTTCAAAAGTCTTTATGAAATAAATTTCTGCAACTAATGTACATGAGAAACCTTTAACAATACAAAAGATAAAAAAAAAAAAACAACTAGACTTCTGTTATGTAGCTGAAGATGTTTGATGTTTAAGAAGTTTCCTCTCTTAATGCCCAGTTGTGCGGCTTGATTTACATGCAGATAAATTTATCTCCCCTCCCACTGAAGAGTCATTGTCTTTGTTTGCCTGGCTCATTTGTGTGTGTGTGTGTGTGTGTGTGTGTGTGTGTGTGTGTGTGTGTG